GTGTTAGTGTGTGTGTGTGTGTGTGGGGGGGCGTGTGTGTGTGTGTGTGTGTGTGTGTGTGTGTGTGTGTGTGTGTGTGTGTGTGTGTGTGTGGTCTAACAACAAAGCTTTTGTTCACAGATTGAACGGGGTCATAAGAAGGATGAGAATCATGATTCACCAAAAGAAATTCATGGTTTTTTTTTTTGTTTTTTTTTACTGAAGTGCAGTCAGAGTGGGTTTTGTGTCTGTGCGCTCACAGGGACTTGAATGTGTGCAACATTAGTATGGATTGGCAAACTTGCCTGGGTTTTGCAGAGGCTGACTCTCACCGTGCACATTAATAAGGTAGTTGTAGAGATGGAATCCTCTTCCTTGTTGCATATTACACATGCAATTATACCTCTGGCCTCCCCGTGTGCCAGCTCCGTTATCAGGTGGGAACAGACTCTCCTCCTTTCTGCCTCTGGATGCGAATGGGTGGGGGTTCAGGCGACACAGTTTAACATTTACTGCACGTGGGCTCGAGTCTTTCCAGCAGATAATGCACAGACTCTTCTCTTCATCTTCCTTTCAAACTGTATTTTTATTTTTCTGAATTTTTTTTTTTTAACTTTTTATTTTTTTTCCCAACAGAACCAAGCAGAGGCCCACTATAAAGGCCACAAGCATGCCCGGAAACTGAAAGCCATGGAGGCCCAGAAGAACCGGCAGCGGCGAGCTGCAGACGCCTCGGCCGCAGGAAGAGAAAGAGAGCGAGGCAAGATATCCAGCGATGCGGCTCTTCCTGCGCCTGCAGATACGAGCTCAGAGAAGGAAAGCAGCAGTAAGAGTGGATATTTGTTACTGATCTTCTCCACTTTGTGGTTGATCACTGTTTGCTCTGCTTCCACTTTTTTTTCTTTATTCTAAACTCCCGTTAGCAGCTACCTTCAGATTACTAATATCCTGCCCTGTTTCCCCTCCCTGCTCCTGTTTCACTTTGACTATACATCCTGTGTGTGGTATCTCTCCATTCTGCCCCATTTAACTATATCTGGGCATTTCATATAAGTTTTTCTCTGACGTGGAGCAGAACCTGCAGAGGCAGGATCAGCTCTCTCTGTGTGTTTTAGATCTCTGAACTCGGATGGTTAACCTCAGAACCCAAGTTTGGGTGTAATGATGCTGCTCAGCTTTAAAGTGATTTTCTTGCAGTTGGAAAATTTCGGTTTGCTTCCTAAAGGGAGTATTTTACTGGGATGGCCAGTTTTAGGGAACAGCATTAGTGAGGGAGTATTGCGGTGTTCACAGAGGGTCTTGTCCAGTGGGAGTGGGATCTTCACTTTCTACTCAAGTCGCAACCATAATTTACAGCATACAATCAAAAAGAAAAATAAGTAGGTCCTCTGGACGGGTTCTTCTTTAATGAAACGTTTCGTCTCTCCTCCAAGAGACTTCTTCMGTCCGAGGAGTTTCAGGTGAACTCAGCCTTATAAGCACTGCCTGCACATGATGGACAAACAGGTTGGTCACATGCAAAACAGGACCATCAGCCAAACAATAGATCGTTCGTGCCTTGATTAGCTCTATTGTTCATAGAGGGTCATGTGTCTCATCACTTGACTATCGTTAAGGCCCTGATTCACACCTTTTGCTCACAGGGGGCGGAGTCATACTTGCAATAACAGCGTTGTAGGGAGGAGGACAACTGGACACGAAGGCCTCCACCTCTGTTTAATGGTGGACGGTTTTTCTTCACAAAGATGGCTTCTTTACTCCTCTCAAACCAACGTTCCTCTCTTTCAAGGATGAGAACATCTTCATCCCTGAAAGAGTGACCGCTGGCCTGTAGATGAGTGTAAACTGCAGAGTCCTGACCTGCAG